GCCGGACGCTATCGTTACGCCGATAACGAACAGGCGGTGCCGTCTTGCACAACGCACGTGGTCGACTGACGACGGTCGCAGCGAGCCCCTGCGGCGAAACGGTCGAAATTGGTCGAAACGTAACGTAGTGGCCCCTGGTGGCCCCTTAATCCTCGCCAGGCGAGGGCCTTTTCCATAACACGGACGGCGAGGGGGGGTTGGTACGACCCCCCTTCGCGATTGGCTCCTATGGCACTTAGAAACGCCAAATTTACAGGGTAGGTGGGTCCATAAGAGATCTCGCCCCTGTGAAAGTTTGGTGACTCTAAGTCAATATTTATGGGGGTTTTGGGGGGTATGAGTGCAAAAAATTTGCTAAAACATCTAAAACATGCTAAAAGTTTTTCGCTTATAACTTTTTACATAGTAAAGATAGAGCAAACGTAAAAGCACCAGTGAACTCAGGACGTCCGTGCGCATCGAATGATATACTTTGTTACCAATTTTAGTGAACTCTGGAATTCAGTTGCCACTAATTAGCGGCAATATTGCTCCGGGCCCAAGCAGGCTCAAGTGCGGATTGCCCGAGATTTTTAGTCGGGCTAAAGTCGGCTAGGGCTTGGGCTAACGTCGGCGTATGACACAAAAACGCCGACTGAAGCCCATGCTCTGCCGGAGGTATGCCCGCTCTGCGAGCTCCGGACAGCCGTAGTTTAGCCCTAGTTGAGCGTTAGCCCGATTTAAGCCCGAGCAGTGAATCCATTTATATAATGGAGATTACTCTGGGCCCGAGCGGGCTGAACTCCGGCAAGCCCACTCTGTGTGCCCGGTCTATCCCGACTTAAGCCATAGAAGTGAATGGGGTTTATACGTTGCAAACTGCTGTGGCTTTGCTCGGGATCGGCTCGAGTGACGGCTCCTGTTTTCTCAAGTCTCGACTTGACTTCATCTTGCTTTTGCTTCACACTGGATCAACTAGCAAGGAGCAGCCAATGCACTTTTAGCAGGTTGTGCGGTTTCAATGCATATTTAAAATTGTTACGGCCACTCTTATGCTCTGTTAACCGGTCATCGAGCATTGCGAAAGGAAAGTAGTGGTAGACTTTGATTGAATGTATATTTCAAACGACTACAGACACGTCAAATGAAACATAAATACATGAAACAGTGGACTGCAAACTGCAGTAATAATATGGCATGAGTCATGAAAAAGCGCCATCAAAACTATAAAACAATCACAAGGCCCGCTAGCCTCCATCCCCGTTCATAATACTTGGTTGAACACTCAACCGAAAGCATAAAGTAAGGACAGCAAGTAATCACTCATAAGACATAAAGCAATTAGCAAACAATCGTTTATAAGGAAATTCACTCTGGTGAATGGGAGCTTTGGAGGCGTCTGGCTCCTCAACGCACACATATCTGCAGTAGGTGGTCGGCCAGCTTTCGGCGCAGTTTCCGTATATGTATGTATACCTACTTAATTATAAGCAGGCAGTTTCCGCTAAACCACTTGGCGAGGGCGACTGCGGCATCCACCCGGTCCTGGTTTGTATAACTATTCCATTTTTTGGAACCATTTGCTCTAATGGTACGTACCTGAAAAGAGATTAATTGGTTTAATTTACATTGCATGTTTGCTTGAAAAATAACTCATTATTGCATTAATACTGTAAAAGCACTTCTCATTGATCCGTATAAAATGTTCATTCGATTTTCAACGCGGACAGAGAATGAGCGTGCTCGGTGATAAGTAGATAAATATTTATGTTTTGTATTTCATTTTCCTGGTTCAGAAGTGCTGGTATTTCACAAAGATATAAAGGCAAGGAATGCGGCTTTTCTGAGCGAGGGTATAAGTCGCCAGGCTGAACAGCTATTCAGCTTCATGTTTGATGGCGTGAAACTCAGTCAAAATCATGACGTTTACATACGATCAAGCGCACCATTCAATACACTTACCTACCGTAAAACTCCATGCCAGTCCACTTGATAAGAGCAGTGAGCACTATCCCTTCTTCGCGCTGTCACACGCGCCCAAACATCAACCACCAAATGCCCCAACACCGGTGTGTCGTTTCGTCGCACAGCGCGCAGACTGTCACAAACGCTGCACATGATTGGCGCAGAAATGCGCATGCGCGAACAGCCGAACAAGTATGGCTAAGCTCCGGCTTTACTCCAGTTAGCCGAAGGACACAGCCAGCTTGATCAGCCCGCGCTCCGCCCAAGTTAAGCCTGTTTTGGATGCGCGGGCAGATGTCGGGCTGAGCTACTGCTATCCGCACGTGGGCATAGCTGCGGCATGCCCCAGCTCAGCCCTAGTAAAAAATACATTGGTTTTGATCAAAGTGGGCAAACCCAAGCTAAGCCCAAGCTGCCCGACGTTTGCCACAGCTCAGCCCAAGCGAATTGCTGGCTGGGAAGCTAGTCCAATTTTCCCCTGACCTTGTTTTTGTGACCTGGTGACCTGACCTGAAAAGACTGGGACTTCAAATTTTCAGGAAAGGTGCGAAAATGTTGCCCCAGAGGGTATGCCAAATTTAACGGCGCTACGTGCCGCCGTTTTTACGTTATTTGCAAAAAAAACCTTAGGGGGGTTGCATCAACCCCCCCCCCCCCCTCGTCAGGCGAGGGTTAAAACAGTCGAAACGCAGCGTACGTACACTCGGGGGCAGATTGATGTTCTACAACTCTTTATCCACCGGGTTCCTATGGCTCAGCATTGGCAGCAGCCGCCTGGTACCGGTAGACTGTGCCGCTTCACTTACTTGTCAAGCGGCACAGCCTACCCACACCGTATGCCACCGGTCTGGGTCGGTGGCTGGAGGGCGATGTGGGCCGCCTGTGACGTCAGCGCAGCGGTGAGGGCCGAGCCCGGAGGCATGGCTCGGGTCGGCGCGGCGCGGCGGCTGGCGAGGGCTGGGGAAGTGGGGAGTGAGGTGGGGTGGGAGCACGGACCATCGCGCGGCTGAGCGAGTGTAGTTAACTTTCGCGTCTGAAGGCGCCAATTATTCTACCTAACAATTGTGCTAAAGCAGTTGTTAAAATGTCCTATCCCCAAGACAGCGCCTATCATCATACTTGCCATGCACATTACGACACACTTAAACGTGGCATTGGGACAGCCGATAGAATTTATATCACACGTGCATCGAGTTGTGGAGCTACATTGTTTTTAACAGATCAGTATTAAGGCCTTGATTGAGCTCATTGGTGTCTATTATTTCGCACAGCAATCGTCCAGAGACGTGGGAACTGGGGTTTTTGGATAGCGCGGCGTCCCAACTTTAAGCAACTCTTACTGTTCCTCTAATGTGTGGTCGCAGCCACCAATAGCAAACCGTTCCATCTAGGAACAAATAAGTCGCGCACCTGGGACGGTTCGAACCGGGTTTCTCCAACCGGTCACCCTACGAAGCGAGCGTGTTTCCACTGAGCTGCCGAGACCAGTGACCAGTCGCCGCGGTCAAACGCGATCAAATGTCACAATAGTGTCATTAGCAGTCAGCGGGTGAATGTCATTTTGTTTTGTGCAGACGAGGACCATTCTCGGTAGCTCAGTGGATGAACGCTCGTGTCGTGAATTGGCCGGTGGGAGAAGCCCGGTTCGAACCCCCCTGAGTGGCCGACTTTTTGGCTCCTAGTTGGAACGGTTTGCTATTGGGGGCTGCGACCACATATTAGAGCAACAGTAATAATCGCTTTAAATTGGGGCGTTGGCTGCGGCACTACTCATAACCCCCAGTTCCCACGTCTCTGGACGATTGCCGTGCGAAACAATAGACACCAATCTGCTCAATCAAGGCCTTAATACTAATATGTTATACAAAATAAAGCTCCGCACCTCGATGCACGAGTGACATAAGTTCTATCGGCTGTCCCATTGCCACGCTTAAGTGTGTCGTAATGTGCATTGCAAGTATGATGATAGGCGCTGTCTTGGGGATAGGACATTTTAACAACTGCTTTAGCACAATTGTTAGGTAGAATAATTGGCGCCTTCAGACGCGAAAGTTAACTACACTCGCTCAGCCGCGCGATGTCCGTGCTCCCACCCCACCTCACTCCCCACTTCCCCAGCCCTCGCCAGCCGCCGCGCCGCGCCGACCCGAGCCATGCCTCCGGGCTCGGCCCTCACCGCTGCGCTGACGTCACAGGCGGCCCACATCACCTTCCAGCCACCGACCCAGACCGGTGTCATACGGGTGGGTAGGCTGTGCCGCTTAACAAGTAAGTGAAGCGGCACAGTCTACCGGTACCAGGCGGCTGCTGCCAATGCTGAGCCATAGGAACCCGGTGGATAAAGAGTTGTAGAACATCAATCTGCCCCCGAGTGTACCTGCTTCTGCGTTGGAACGGTCGAAAGCAAGTACAAAACCCTGTTTGGAAATGTGGAGTGTTCAGAACTGCCTCTCTCTTTTATGTACATTCTACATCTTCTCTTGTATGCCTTATGCGTGAGCCATTTTGAAATATTTGCCAAATGAAGGTATGTTTAGTTCTTTGATGACAGATACGTATTCGGATAGACAGATCCGACCTCACCTCCATCGTTCCATCAATCCTCCTTATCCCTAGGTGACCGATATCGACCATCGTGATTCGTGACTGGTTTGGCCACTACAGAGGAAATTCCTTAGACGAGTGCGTACACGGAAGCGGCCCTATCGGCACCCGCTGAGTCAGTTCTCGGGACTCGTGTCTGATATACAATACAGCTGCCACGCCTTAGTCTGATAATGCGACATTAATGTGAGTGATTGTTCAACGAAAGGATAAATGCGATAGGTTATGAAATCGGCACTTTGGTGATGGCAACAGAACCAATCTTGCAGCAGCCGATCATGAGGTCAAACAGAGCGATACGGCGCCGCTGCTTGCGATATCCTTGCGATACGGCGCCGCTGCTTTATGGGCAGCTTAACGCTCGCCATATAGATATGCTGTATGTAGATTTGAAATTGATGCTTACTTGATACTCCTTGCAACCTTGCACATTTGCTTCATTCTTGCCTGAATCATAACATGACTCAATATATATTGTATATACACCCGTATGAAACACTTTCTTCAATTGGTTCAAGACAGTGCGAACACAATATTGCAGTGCTAACGCAATATTGAGACATACATTTTCACGCGCGGGGAAATGTTATCTGACAGCAGACCCAGGAGCAAATATTAACTTGTAACGAGTCCATATCGCTCCCAGTTAGTGAGAAGAGAATCCACGCTTATTCCTGGTACGCCAGATGACAAAACTCTCAGCACAGTGCAGCCCGCAGATATTCCGTCACCGCACAAACACTATCTAAGTCAAACACAGCTCGTGTGCTCACCAAATGTGATAGCGGCGTCACTTGGAGCAAATCCGCTGCCCGCGTAACGAGCGCCGCGCCATGATGCCCGCAAACACATCAGTGAGCACTGGCACTCTCCGAAGGGGCTTGACTTCAGAGTTAACGTTCTTCCGGGCACTTCACTGCGGGATCAATATGATGAGCCTAGCGTCAAGTAGTTATAGTCCGATTTGTTAAGCCTGTCTAATCTTTTTAAGCACTTTCGTGAAAACCACACGCGAAGCCTCAGTAGCTTTAACACGACGCTGGTCAGCCGAAAATATCTTGGTTTTAGTTATTGACCTCCTATTCATTCCTATCGCTCGTCTCGTGCCGTATTCATCATAAGTGCACTTAAAACGACCAGACAGGTATAAAAATCCGGCTATAGTTCAAGCACACCGGTGGGCAGTGTTCGATGTTGTCGGACATCACAGTCAAAACAGTCACTACGCAACAATGTGACGGCAGTCGGCGCTACCGGCCGCTGTCCCTCTGCGGCGGTCCGGCGCGGAACACTTTGAGGAACTCCTCAATATCGTCTGTGTCGCCCATGTGTTTGTACACCCACAGGCCCCAGCCGAGCTGGGAGGCCTCGTTCATCGCCTTCGACTTCAGGCAGGAGTTGAAGCGTTTGCCGACCTCAGTCTTGTTGCACTGTTTCTTGTGGTAGACGTGCACCAAGTCCGGGTCGGGCATGCGCACAATCTCCACACTGCTCTTGGTGAACTGTTGGTATAACCGGACATCCTCCAGGCCCCAGCCGGAGATGTTGAAGAAGTTGCCAGTCAGTCGGGTAAAGTCAGATCGGTACTGACAGCTCATGCCGAACCCAAAGTCAATCCAGTAGCCCTTCTCGCGATCAATGAGCGTTTTCTTTTCGTAGCTTGTCAGAATCGGGACCATCTTCTTTTTGATGACGTCGAAGACGATATGCGGGTTGTATGTGTTGAAGACTATGGGGAAGTAGGCCTGGTGGCCTGGCTTGGTGTTTGTACGACACCTCTGCAGGAAACTCTCTCCGAACAGCATGTCCACATCGCAGAGGAATAGCAGCACGTCATCGGTGGTGTCCCACGCGCGCGCGCCCTCCATGAGCGCTGCGCCACGCGAGAAGACCCCCGACTTCTCGATCAGACGCACCCTGGGCACTGCACTGACGCTGGACAAGCGCATGTTGATCTCGCTGACGAGTGCAGAGACTCCGTCGCGGTCTTTGCGCGCCTGGTCGGCACTCATGGGCGGAAAGCCGTCCATGTACCGGACGATAGTCAACACCACCTGCTCCCGCTTCTCCACCAACTTGGCGAACCTGCCGAGGAACTGGCGGAGCGTGTGCAGCCGGTTGAAGTACGGCAGGATGATGTTGACCACCTCGTAGCCCCCGCTGCCGCCGTACTGCACTCGCGGCAGCGCTAGGGGCCGGGTCACGCGCACTGTGTGGAAGCCCGTCGGACCCGAGTCGCGCGTGCGAAAGTAGAGCTCATACTGCACTCCGGCGCCCGGCAAGAAGCGGTAGCGACCTCCGAGCGCGTCCGAGCGCGTGAAGCTCGTGTCGCCGGTGCGACGTCGCAGCTCGGCCAGCGAGGCGTTCACCACGGTCAGCAGCTCGAACGTCTCGGGCCCGTCGCGGGGTGCGCGCTGCACCTTGGTGGCGCCCGGCTCGATCACCTGACGTCGCCAGCGGGACAGCTCGAAAAAGTGCCACGGGTACGGCTCGACCCTGGGGGCAGAGAGAGAGAACAGTGACTTAGACAGGGCAATTGAATGCATGCCCGAGAGCAGGTAGAGGGATGGGGAAATAGAATAAGAGGACATTCGACTGCATGCCCGAAAGCAGTAATGACCGGAGGAAGGTTTAACATATCGAAATGTTGTGATGCAAGGAAACGTAAATAATACATGATGGCTGTTAATCTTAAAAAGGATATGCAACTGCACACTTAAATTGCATGCAATGATTATTCCGTGAGGTCACGTACAATTCGATTGAACACTCAAAATAACCCGTAACCGAAACATCTTACACTGTTTTAGAGCCGTCCCACTTAGAGAATGACGCATTTAGGATCACACATGTGCTGCGCATCAAATGGTTGCAGACTCTCGGCCCTTGAGCGATAGACGGTCGCTTCTAGCACTTCTAGCGCCGGCCACGATGACCAATGTCCATACGGTCCGTATTTTCTGTCCGTCTGACCGCTATCAGCGACTCATCCCGGCGGAAGTCGGTACTTACCCGGGCGGGATATCGAACCGCGAGCCATTCTCTTCCTGCGTCAGAGAGCCCACCGCCACGTACTCGGGACCTGCGGCACAGAGAGTGGGTAAACACTGGGAGTGGCGGCTGCAACCTGGCACTGACACACACAGACTTACAATGAGTGGTGCCTGGAACTGATGGATTTGGGCCACGCTCGACGTGAAAGCGCCGCTGAAATCTTGTGTAGGACTTCGAAGACCAGGCGGTTTCAGCTTTCAATAATGCATTACTGGGGTTGTCTCAGACGCTGTTTTTGGGCTGCGACATGAACTAGTATGTGGAGTGGAATGCTATAGTATCAGCGTCATCTCTTGTTGTGAATTGTCAGCGCTGTTGCCGGTTGTGGCTAAATTTCTGAATATGAATAAGCCTATAAGCATCAGGCACTCGATCTGGGGACTGGGGTGAGTAATATCGAAGAGCAACAATCCATATGAGCGACCCAAATATGTAAAGTAAGATTTTAGATAGCATATGTTCAATGTTCATGGTATGGTACGTACGTTTGAGCTGTAACCAAGTCATCGTCAATGATAGTATCTATGACCGTGGTCAATGAGAGGCCAGTCGGGCAAGCAATTTCGTCCTCTTATCGATTTCGCACACATAACCAACAGCCTAAAAGCTTAAAAATGGTGACCGGAATACCTACAGCAAGTCACTTACCAAGCGAGATGGCGACCACGGTTAGAGTGATTGTTGGGCCAAGGCAATTTCGTCCTCTTATCGATTTCGCACACATAACCAACAGCCTAAAAGCTTAAAAATGGTGACCGGAATACCTACAGCAAGTCACTTACCAACCGAGATGGCGACCACGGTTAGAGTGATTGTTGGGCCAAGGCTTCTATACAGCTTCAGCGGCTGCTCGAAATAACGACTCGTAAAGTATGTTTTAGGAATACCGATCCCAGAAGGATCAGCATAACTTTTTCACCGTACGAAGTAGGTGTTCATTATACATTTTTAAAAGTAGTTTTAAGTTTTACATGATATAGGTAGATTGTATATTGCATTTAAAACGTAGGACTGATAGCAAAAAAGGTTTATTCTTATTTTATGCAACAAAAGCTTGTCGCCCTATTTCATTCGGTGATCCCTAAATACAGAACGGTTCGGGACGCGGGTCGTGCTTAGTTAGGCATGCTTTGACTTGGCGTTAAGGCAATACCTTGTGCACAACTGATCATTCCTGATAAACCTAATTTAGCTTCTTATAAACGTACATCATGCACGATGCATTCAACATGAACTACATGCTTTGCTGCAGTGTCAATGCAATGTAAATTGTGCATGCTACCCATATCATTGCATGGATCTGCTTGTAGTTTGGTATGCATTGTATCGGTACGTAAGCGTGGTGCTGTTCCAAGTAGGACCATTTCCATTTTGATACACAGCTTTCGCGCATAGCGGTTTGGGGGTTTCCTGAACAACGCCTGGAACCGCTCAAATATATTAACATATTTCGCTCCTAATGTCGCCATACCTAGTATGGCGGCAGACGGCGGGTTCCCAAACAAGTGCAACTTCGAGGCCATTTGGAAAAAAATGGTGCGTTTTACCGACTTCCGCAGTACGCCAAACTTTGAATGAGGAATTTATTTCATAATGTTTGGTAGTCTGTTGCATTCGTGTATCCATAGACCTCTGTACACCCTCAGGTCAAAAGCACGCCGATTGCACAGGTGAGTCTAGGACAAATCCCATTCGACATTCGCTCAATTATCTACACGATGCTGTTTTCCCCGTGCCGGACGGACCCCTGGTCACCAAAATATGGCACCGGGACCGGACCCGTGTCGGCCAAAATTAGCCGTTTTCGCCCGATTTCGCACGCTGATTTATACATGTAAAGTCTATGACGCGAATTTGCACTTTTTGAGCACGCGCCACGCGCTCCCTATCGACCCGATCGAGCCCAGACCCCTCAAAGGCACGTCGCGCATCCTTGATCTATAATATCTAATATCTTGATCTATTCTAGGCGGAGCGGAGAGTGCGGCTGCGGTGTAGCTCCGTCAGCTGACGGCGGTGGATCCGACTTGGGCGCTGACCTCGGGTGGAAGGGGACATGCCTAAGAGCTGGACTTTTTGCACGCGTTCCCCGCCAGGGGGCGCCACTGAGGAAGCACCCTCTGACGTCACGATAAAACTGCGCGCACTGTGCGCTCGGTTCTGTAAGCAAGTAATATAGTGGTGGTTTCATGGTGGAAATTGGAATAAGTATTTTGACGTTGTAAAATTTCAAGCCGTTTTTGTGAAATTAATTAGTAAATCCATTTCAAAAGTATTTATTTAAAGTGTGAAAGGAGAATAATTAGAAGAACATGCATATTTTTGTTCCAATAGCTTATTACTAGGGTTACCCGCGTGCTCCGCAACGCGAAGAAGAGTTATGTTTGACCCGTGGGCATTGGGTTGGTCTGTGTCGATTTGGTTGGTATCCATTTTGTTCGATTGCTTTTTGACGGCCAAGCATTTTGTAATAAAACAAAGATGCATCGCATCGAGGTGCCCGTGTCGTATTATCATGCGTACTACTTAAGAATGATTCGAAAACTGGCGTGAAGTCTTTTGAGGGCCATCGATGAATTTCGCTAAAAATGACAATGTAATGGTTTGGAACATTTACATTTTTAAGAATACTGTTGCTCATCATGCAAAAATGAAGAGTGAATATTGGGTAGAATTGAGTGCTCTTTCCAACGGTGCCATTTTTTATTGCCAGAGATATCAGATCATGGAGCAAAACCCGTGTGATTAATAAAGTGGCACAAAATTGACAAACACCATTTTCTCCCGTAATTTGTACCACCTTGATTTGGATCAATCAGCTGTTCACAATTTTTCCATGAGAGGCGGTACATTTCTCTTGCCAATAGGCGTTGTTTCAACTCTCTCCGTCTGACGGTCACCTAAAAATTATATAAATTCCAAAATCCGTGCAAAACGTCAATTTTCCAAATAAAAGTGCCCTCCCTGGTGCACGTGGCACGTGCCGTCCTCTGCATTGCACACCATTCAATAGCCCGTTCAATTCTGTACACGATGCTGTTTTCCCCGTGCCGATCGGGCGCCCGGTTGCCGAAATATTGCACGGGGACCGGACTCGTGTCGGGCAAATTTAGCTGTTTTTGCCCGATTTCGCATGTCGATTTATACATGTAAAGTCTATGACGCGAATTTGCACTTTTTGGGCACGCGCCACGCGCTCCCTATCGACCCGATCGAGCCCAGACCCCTCAAAGGCACGTCGCGCATCCTTGATCTATGAGTTGTGCAAATTTCACCGCGCTAGGTGCAACGGTCTGGCCTGTAGTCCACGCAAAGCAGCACCAAGTCGGGACCTCGGTAACGGACAGACGCACCCTCCTCAAATAGTATCTTTTTTCACTTTGCTTTTTTTCACTTTTACAATTTATTTACCGATCCGATTTACTATTTGAGGAGGGTGCGTCTGTCCGTTACCGAGGTCCCGACTTGGTGGTGCTTTGCGTGGACTACAGGCCAGACCGTTGCACCAAGCCCGGTGAAATTTGCACAACTCATAGATCAAGGATGCGCGACGTGCCTTTGAGGGGTCTGGGCTCGATCGGGTCGATAGTGAGCGCGTGGTGCGTGCCCAAAAAGTGCAAATTCGCGTCATAGACTTTACATGTATTAATCGGCGTGCGAAATCACCTGTGCGGTCCTGAGTCTATGGTGTATCGTTTTCAGAAGTTTCTCATGCAGTGAGGTTTGATTTGAAATTAGGGGTTACGCTCAGATCGCTAGCCTGCCATGACCTTTTCTTATTTCTGACTTGTCATTCATAGACGGTCGTCACGGCTCAGAAGGAAAATCATGTCTACATTCAGTGGCGTCGGAACACCTTCATTTAAGGGGGGGGAGGCACCGCCGACTTTTGGCCCCATTCTTTCCATGCAACGCCCATAGGGCTAATGTTAAAACGCCAAAATCAAAGGGAAACACGGTGCCCCGGTGCCCCCCCCCCCGTTCCACCGCCTATGTCTACATTATATCAATGAATCAAGGGCACCCACTTCCCTAACCTGACCACTTTCATCAGCTGAATCAAAACGCATTCCTCATACCTACGCCAGTCACCAGCCTCGGAAACGGAATGCAGATACAAATATTAGCATATGCATGCAGCATAGCATATGCATATGCACTTCAGAGACGTTCAAAGCAATGCCGGTCGTCCGGCGTCCGGTGCTAGTCGCGCGCCTCGCCACCAAGTGCTAACTTTCTATCGCAAATATGACCCAGCGGCCAGCGCTGTTTACTGCCCGCACAAATCTAACCCTGCAGGGTGGCAGGATAAGTGACAGCACATATATGGCCGATGCAGGACGCGCTTGGCGCCGGCACCGGTAGCTGATAGACCGGTACGAATAATTCTGTTTGACAGTCGGAGCTATTCTGTTTCTGGGATAATTTTTTGCACTCGTTTTTCAGTTACTAAACTAACGAAAAAAGGTAAGGTTTCCTGCGAAAGGTTTCATTTTGATAAGTGCCTTTCGATGGACTCTCCTTAGACTCTCCTAAGCCTCAATGTTACACTTATCAAAATAAACGAGTACCTACTTACATTTATTTGTGACGTGGAGGGACATGTAATGAGGCTTGATAAAACCAATTTAGGTCGCAATTTTGCCTTTTTTTGTATTTTGGCCTCTGTATGCGAGTTACCCTGATCACCTCTTCACAATTTTACACTCCAATCTGAAGGATACAGTGCACTCATTATTTCGATGGTTTATCCCTCAACCGATTCTCCTATAGGCCCCTGCAACGTATAGAACTGGTCGCCTTCTGGGCTGATGTAACAAGAACATGTCGGTATATTTTCCACGCTTTATCTTGTGCCGATAAAGGCAACCCCACAAAATAATTAATGACGACACAGTAAATTGGCTGTAGTTTCGAACTATGGGTGTCCCCCAATTGAGTTGCATCACATGGCCAGGGGCAGCAAGATAGTCTGGGCGCGAGGCACGATGAAAGCCAGGCAAGCCGCCAGCCCTGAAATGGGATCCGTTTCACCGTGATCGGAGCGGTCACAGGACTTTGATCGGTCATTGTCGTTCAGGAGGGGATATGTGCTGAGCGGCATAAAACAGGAGACGAAACAGGAGACGGTGACATGGGGGGGGGGACACAGTCTTTGGGAAGTAAGTAGCGGCTATTCCGAGGCTGCAGGGATCCCTTTTACACAACTTATATGAGCCGGCACCGCGTCAGACTTGTGCCACTGCCAGGTAACCATTTTCGTTGATCACCAGTAGGTAACTATGCAGTATGCACTCCGGCAAGTCACAATCTAAGGTTGAATTAGTCCTTAACCCTCGCCCGCACATCGGGGGGGGGGGGGTTGCCACCCCCCCCAGGTAGTTTTTCTGCTCTGCACTCAACATTTTTAAAGCTAGAAGCCTGATTTTTCGTATAGCTGCTGCTCTATTCTTTCTTGATGTCCACTGAAAACCTCAAGTTTCTGTGGTTTTTGGTTTCGGAGATATGACCTTGTTTTTCAGGTCATGTCATGACCCAAATGACCAATTCTCAACATCTTGCGTTGGCTATGGGCCTTGGGAGCTTTTGACACCTTGATTTCGGCCTTTTTTTTGCCAGTCTTACCTCCCACCTATCATGGAACATGTTGTTCGACGATGTACAGATGTCAAGGTCAGGGTCAAGGTCAACCTAGGTCATCTAAAATAATTGCGTTTTAGGCAAGCTGAATTTCCTTTTCGTGAAGTTTTTTGACTGCATTTTTGGTAAAAGCTTCTCAGATCATGATTTCATGTAATATGGACACAAACAATCGGTGCACACATCAGTATGCACACAGACATACACAGACATACAAACACATATCATTGACCTTGACCTAACTTGACCTGAAATGACCTCAGCAGCAAAAACCTGGTCGGGTAGTGTGACAAAGAGGTTCTTGCTGGCTTGGCACCAGAAAACGGCATCGTCATCGGTATATGATAGCAGCGCACTTGATATCCAACGGTGACCGAAAACAGCAACATTTTTTAGTTTGACCTGACCTGGAAGGTCAATGACTGACCTGAGAAGGTAAAACTGGGTATCATTGGATTCGTCTCTTCCCAAAAAAAAATATTTTTGGTCTTTACCGCGAAGCTCTATCTCCAACAGGAACGAAATGGCGCGGGGGTGGCAACCCCCCCCCCCCCCCCATGTGCGTTCTACGATGGGAAAATGGCATGTGCGGGCGAGGGTTAAGTCTAACAAGCAGTTGTTGCTATGAATGCGGCAAAACGCAATCAACCGTAATCGAAAACTACCAATGAAGACCATTGTGCTCACGTCAATTGTCTGACAGATCTTGTGTGCTTTCCAATGATTTATTGCTCGCTTGCCGAAAGCAGCTGCAAGCGGAGTTTGCACGCCGCCGTATGCACCATGCAGCCTGACCTACTCTCCAGCAGGGTTGTGCTTGACTCATGAGTCGAGTCAGAAATTTGACTCAACTCTGACTCAAATGAGTCAGATTTGAGTCGAGTCGGATAAAATGTTGAGCTGTTGAGTTGAGTCAGAGTTGAGTCAGTAAAATAACTTTTGACATTGAGTTGAGTCAAACATTTAGGAACATGAGTCAGCTGACTCAACTTTCTAGAAACAAGCTTTTCATCCCCCCCCCCCGCTTAACAACTTCGCCCTGGCCCTGCTGCCGGATTTTTTTTTCACCCCCGCCCCCGCTCAACAACTTTTTTATCTGAGTCAATTTTGAGTCAACTCACTTGACTCAACAAAAAATTTGAGTCAAGTTTGAGTCGACCCATATTTTCATTGAACCGCTTGAGTCATGAGTCGAGTCAAGGGAAAAAATCAGCTCCTTGTTTGAGTCAGAGTTGAGTCAGGGCTTTCTGAAGTTGAATGATGAGTCGAGTCGGCAAATTTTTTTGAATCGAGCACAACCCTGCTCTCCAGCACATAGACTCACTACAGTGTTGTCAGACCAGAAGTCTCGCTGTGCCTGTGTTCTGTTCCGTGACGGCTGCAGCGACGGTCGGCTCCGTCGAGGTATCCGTATCGGCTCCGCCAACCGATACGGATATATCGGTGTTCGTCCTGTATTTTACCCTCACGCCATTATTCATGCTCCTGACAAAGTGGTAAGACGCGGTGCATTTTCAAAACCGTTCAATGATTTCGAAATCGTGTACAGACCTTTCAAAAGGTAGCCAAATAAATGAGTGTTTTGTGGTAAAATATGCATTCACGTACCGCGTACGCTCCAAATTATGTCACTTGGTTTAAAAACGCCTATTAGATCAAAACGCACACTTTATTCGGTTGTTATTCGTTTTCGTCTTTTGTATTCATTTATGTTGCCTTCTGTCTTCTGGCGGCACGAGATTTGTTTTCGCCCGCAGTCTGCAGTGAATAACCCAATGGACATTTTCTAATAGGCTCATGCTACGGCTGACCAAAACCAGGGGCCGTATCGGGGACCAGATCGATAGTTTCCCAAACGATAGTGGTTTTGCCAAACAGTGGCACATGTTTGACACTGAATCCGTGGCGAACGTATGTATCGCTGGAACCTAAGGCATATGACATATTTAGGTCAGTAGAATGTTTTTCTTACGTTTTCATTGCAGATGAGCGGCAACCGCCAAATCAGATGTGATGTCAGTTTTAAATGGTTGAAAAACCGAAACCAAGCAAACTATCAACCAAAACCACGAATAACACTGAACCAAACAAACTGGAATAGTTTGATGTTGAATGATGTTGAGGGTTTCTTTGAAAATGAGCCCCATTATTATTAAAAGATAAGCAAGTAATAGCCTTTGGCTCATTGTATAATAGACAAAAGAAATGGAAAAGAATATATGTGCGGTCATTGGGAAGGTCGGGAATATATGTGCGGTCATTGGGAAGGTTGGGAAGGTCATTGGGAATATACTGAAGGTTTGATATTGGTATAGCACAAAAATGTCATTTCAGTGGACATTTCCACCCAAAATCACCATAAGGCTCAGTGTCATCTGAGTGCCGCCAAGTGTTTGCAGTGTTCACTGTTCAGCTCAGCGTCTGCTCACCCGCCCAGTGCTCACCTGGCGCCTGCCGTTCGGTCGTGGTCGTCGTCACCACCGGCGCCGTCACCCTGCTCCTGGCCGCCCTGCGCCGGTGCACGGTCTCTGTTTCTGTCAGCGCGAGGAACACCAGAGCGCCCGCCAGCAGACTGACGCCGAGCGTCAGCCGCCGCCACGACACCCGCATCCTGACTGACGCGCGCGCCGCCCCGGTCCGCCCGCCGCCCGGCACAGCGCGCTCCCCGGCCGCCGCGACACGGCACCGATAGCCGCCGGGCTATCGGCGATAGTGACGTCCGCCGTCCGCGTCATACTCCACGGGCGCACTAAAACACACACGTCACACACGGGGAGAGGGAAGACGCACGCGGGAAGAGGAGTGAGATGTCAACAGGTGGTATCTTTTGAGAGCAGTTGTGGAGGCGTGGAGGACGGCACGTGCACGTGGGTAAATCAAGGACTTTGGACGGTGTAAGGTGGACAATGGCGTGTATGACGTCATAGTATTGATGTCGTCAGGTGATATGATCCTTACGCATGATTTGTCCCAATTTAGAGAGGCTATGAACGTGGACGAGGCTTGGATTCAGACCTCACGGTACTGCCGATCCAGTAGTGCTTTGGGTATGGGGGGGGGGGGGGAGGGAGCATCCCATGATTGGCAGTTGTCGGGTGCTGACCGGCACCACATGTCTCGGCTTATTAGCATCGTTATGTGTGTCAACCGGGCCACTGACACTGGGGCACTTACGGCGTACCTAATACTAAGTGATATTGCATGTGCACGTTTACCTCGTGAATCGAAAGTCATATACAGGGTTGGGCAGATAAATTGGGACAAATTTCAGCTTCCTCTAAAACGACTATTTTTTTTAGTGATAATGATAATTTTTGAACATAAATATAGGCTAATGAATACGTTTCCATGTTATGCAGGTTGCGTTGTAATTTTGAGTCGGCTGGTCACAGAACGTGGGCTTAAAGGGACTATCCCACCTTCTAAAATGTTGTCAAAACCAGTTAAATTGTGCCCGACTTTATAGATTGGATGACCAGGAACACGGTTCTGGCATTTATTTTTCATTAAACATCTTAGGCTTCCCATATTCCAAACACAAACTTTCAAATATGTGACGTCACAGCCCAAAATTACCTCCTTCCTCAGGCCACATTACTGTCATAAAGCTGATTCTTTTTACTCTGTAGGCACCACAACAAAGTTCAGACCAAGTTTTAAGCGATTTTTCAACGAACAAACCCATTTAAATCAGAATGACTAAACGAGGTGACGTCACACTAACGGTCGCTCCATGTTGAAGATAGGGCCTTGCGCAAGGCCCATTTTCAAATGAAGGGAACGAATTTCTTCAACACCAAGAGGCCGCGGGGGTTGCAACCTAGATAGATAGTGGTTTCTGAACCTCGCCGCAAACTTGGCTATCTCAACTCAAACCCCATGTTAAAGGGACCCTCCCACCTTCAAAAAAGTTTATGAATTGGCATGAAAGTGATGTCGCTCGGTTCAAAAAGAGCGAAAACGAATATCTACCAAATTTCACCGAAAAATATTCACCGGTTTTCAAGATATTAGACTTTTACTTTTGTTTACTTTTTGGGATCTCCACTGTTCCTAGCGACTTTATTTAAAAGTGCGGCATTTGTTGCGCGCAACGCAGCATATACCACCGCGTGCTACAAAACGTTTTAGTCAAACATTTAACGGGCGTTCGAAATCCTGATGACGTCATCAGATTCCCGTAATGGTTAAGAGATAGGGACCACGCTGGTCCCACCCTGCAAGTAAAGGGAAGAAATTTCTTGAACACCATAAAGCTGCGGGGGTTGCGACCAGGATAAATGGTGGTTTCTGAGCCTGGCCGCAAACTTGGCTATCTCAACTCAAAACTAATGTTAAGGTGGGAGGGTCCCTTTAAAGGTGGGATAGTCCCTTTAAGCAAGCCACTTTCAACTTAGTCCGCGCGCACATGCATGCCAATGCTCTAATTATGCTCCATCAAATGGCTGAAAGTAGTGTGTATCGAACAGACGTAAACGTTGGAGGAAGAGATGATATTGACTCATCCTTACATACCTATTGCATTGACACCGGCCGCTCCCCCGGTTTTCCAGGGGGGCTAGAAGGTAAAATTCAGTTAAATCAGAGGATCCTCGCGAAAACAGTGGCGCGAGCTTACAACGAAGGTAGCCGCGCCATGAGAAAGCGATATACCAGCACCTCAAACATGTACTCTTATGCATTGATGCATATCAACCTGTCAACATAGATGTTGAAGCAGCTGTGACGTTAAAAAGATTGTTTCCTTTTGAAGGGCTTGGAGAAGCGAGCAAGCACGTGCAAGCCTTTTTCGACGATGGTATCTCCATAACCGAACATATGAACAACCGCAAACACCATGTAACATCGCAACCAGCCCAGAAGACGTGATCTTAGTTCCAAAAAGCATGCAGCAGACATCGGTGATGGCATTCCACTCGGTGACTTCTGACGGTCACGTGGGGCGCCCTTATTTTACGGAATCGGGAGGGGGTTCGCCATTACAGGGTACCTAACCATTATTCCGGCAGTTCGAATCAACAAGATGGAAGAAGGCAACATCCTGTATGGAGTGATGCTCTTCGAGGAGTCAGCTCCCCGGCATACAGTAATTAAAATACAAAATCTCCTGAAACGGAGGATCCCGCAAACTGTACCCAAGGGAAAATGCCTTCATTAAACCTCAGCCCCCACAAGTTCTGGTTGCTGGGGCGTTTTTGCGGGTGAGTCTAACGAACGTCCCCATGTGACTGTGGTGCAGGGTTGTATACGACTCAGAGTTGAATCATGAATCGACTCAGGAATCAGTCATTTTTCTTTGAGTCATGAGTTGAGTCGAATCAAACAATTTGAAAGCGTGATGAATCATGAGTCGAGTTGATTCACATATGTACAGGCCATTTGAGTCAGAATTTGAGTCGATTCAAGGTAACGCGAGTCACATTTGGAATCGAGTCAAGGTAACTTTTCACATTCAGTCTGCTCCAACCACCAGGTAACATAAATTTATTTGAAACTGCTAGTGAGCATCTTTTATGTTTTGGTTGGCATCAGCTCTCTATTATATTCAACTTTGGCAAGTCAGCCTGTATTTATATATGTAATCACTACATCTGTGGACTGTTACTGAAATACTCACATTTGTGATTTGGTTGGCTTTGTGAATGCTAGTAAGAAACACTACCAAGTATGAGTTAGATACCAGTTGGCAGTTTACTTAAAATGAAACCTTTTTTTTTTTTTTTTAGTGGCCCTTACTTACGTTACCGGCCTCGCGAGGAGGGCGGCGACCTAACTACGCCGCGCAAAACAAACCGGCCGTCCTAACTAAGACCGGTGGCCACTTTTACAGCAAGACAACATGGGAAAACCCATATCCATGTACTATGTCATGAATATGGGGAAAAACCCATGAATTTACGTTAAGACACATAAATGACAGTGAAACTTACCGGTAAATTGATGTTTGTGAAAGGAGGGAAGGAGGAAGTTTGTGAATGGTAAGGTTACGACGAGAGAAGTTTGTGAATGGTAAGGTTACGACGAGAGTTGGATGACAGGAATGGTTTGAAGAGTGGGGGATAGGTCGCTGGGAGGGATGGGGTTTGTGAATGTTTAAGCGTCACGATGAAAGGAATGGTTTGGAGGATGGGGAATCTGTCGCTGCCGTGCTGCAGTTGGCGGCCGACGGTTGTCTGTGGTCGTTCAGCCCGGCCGCCGCCACTGTTCAGCGGCCGGGGTCCGCTGGTGTAGCTCGCTGGGCCGCTAAGCCTCTAAGCCTGCTCCCGCGGCTGGGGAAAACCCGTCTGCCATCGAAGCTCTGTGCTTCGGTACCAGCGAAAAACTCGACCCATCGGCCATCCCGTAAAACCTTAAATAATTGTCTTTGTCTAAGTTGTCTAGAAAGATTATGAACAACCATCACATCTTTCTTTTCCGATGGGCACAATTGCTAATTCGTGGTCGCACATGACGTCGCAAATAACTATTCGCAAACAACATGAAAAATGACGTTTTTATTCAATTTAGGCTTATAAATGGAAAGCAACATATTTAAAAAAATATAAAAACTTGATCTTTTTAGCCAGAAAATGATAATATGATAAGGGCTAAAGAAAAATATAAAATGGCTTAGTTTCAAATTAAAATTGCATGACGTCATTAACGTGGACGAACGTGTCTCGAGCATGAATCGATGACAGTAGTATTTGTAACTTATTAGCAATTTCTGTCAACAATCATGTTTGCTACCATATCCCAAAGGTAAAGGAAAAGCAAAAAAATCGTAGCGGCGTTACCATAGATAAAGAAAACGCTACCATAACGCAACTAACTGGAAAGTGACGTTTTTATTTTACTTTGTAAGTTATCCAAACGCAAACATACATTTTAAGGCTTGGTTTTGTATTTTCATGCTAAGATGCATTAGAGTTGGTTTGTTTATCTTGAGTTAAGTTAGTTTTGACAAGCTAGAGTTAAGGTTAAAATAAGTGACGTCATGTGTTTATAACGGGATCACACCACATTGCTCGATTATGCCCTAAACCTTGCCCTAGCCTAAACTCCCAAGGCCACAAGACAACAGGGCATGAATGGCATGTGTCTTTGCGTTTTGTGATTCTAATTATCTTAATATTTGGCTTCTTATTTGTCATATATTAAAGGCTTCATATTTGTATTTTGCATTCTTATTTAGAAATCAATACCGCGTGGCTTGCAGCTGGCAGGTAGGTAGGCACCTATCGATTTGCTGCTGACATTTTTAATTACATTACAGGTATATACAAGTGTTCTATGTGGTTTCAATGATAATAGCAAACATGTTTTTCTTTATTTCTATTTCATATGTAAATAATATGACTAGTGTTAACTTCATATAATATGACTCGTCGATTCAAATTATTTCACAGAACTCTTGAGTCATGAATTGATTCGAATCGTTAAACTGAAAATATGCTTGAATCATGAGTCGCTTCGATTCATATATTTCTTGTCATGTTTGAATCAAGAGTCGAATCGAATCATTTCAATTAAAGTTTTTGGAATCATGAGTCGAGTCGACTCAGTTTAGGAAACTCTCTTTTGAATCGACTCACCAAAAATTTGAGTCGTATACAACCCTGCTGTGGTGAGCCTCAGCAGTGCCAGTTGGCTACAATTACGAGCCATTTCAGACGGGAGATCTCGCCGCGCGTGCAGCCAGCCCAGTCCAGGCACCGATAGGCGATAAGGACTGATGCAGGTGGACCACGGTGACCATATTTGGTGATTAATGTGTAAAATTGGTGTGACAATATGTGATCCAAATTTGAAATAACTATGTTTACAAA